AATTACTGTGTTTTTAATGTATAAATTATTTCTAATGAAAAACAACTTGCATCTTATGTTATCTCTTTATTAATATATCATTGAATGTACAGCGAATGTAGTTTTTCTTTCTTCTCAACAGTAAGATTTGTTTGAAAAATCGTTTAGTCAAAAAACATTTAAAATCTTTACTACGACGGCTAAACTTTATCTACAGCTGAATAGCGCTTCCAATTCGGTGTTATTACGACCATCGAAATGAAACGCGTGTTCTTATGGATTAATAAAACCACCGTTTCGTATTCCATTACTACAAACAATCTCTTTGAAACACTACATCGTTCATAAAAAGGAATTTTATTGCTCAAATCCTTACGCCATGGCTTCTTCTGCACCAATGAAAACGTCATAGGTGACGTATTTGTCACTTGTTACTTTTGTACTCATAAATGTAATGATATAAAGCAAATAAACTCCCAACGCTCGTATCAACAAAGGATTAAATGAGCGTTGACAATAAAGTCATTAAGACAAATTAAACCATATTAATTCAGTCACATTTTGTAGTAAAAAACAATCGTTTAAGTAAAAGAATAGTAAGTAATAATAGCAAAAGGAAAAGTAATAGTTTATGTAATAGAAGTAGATTTTTATCGAATATGATAATTAACCAAACGTCTGTGTTAAGTGGTTATGCAACGTCTCCGCCAATATGTATTTCTATTTTACGTATATTCTATTGTATTCCGAATCAAGAAGTTTATTGTACATGTTCATTACAGTGAAGCTTTCATATTTGTGAGACGAATGATCTTTTAATGTTTATTGTTTCAAAAAATACCATTAGGTTGATAAGGACTACGTTATGAGCTCGTTTTCTCATTCTTCAAAAAAAGCTTAACGTTATAAACAAGTTGTAGAATATATTGCTTTTACCCAGAAATATAAGAAAAAATAAATGAAAGGTTTAAACTTTTAATATAGTAATTATTTAATATCATGAAATGAATTCCAGAAATTTCGAAATTCAAATTCTAAGAACTTGTTGACTTATCATGTCCTCGAAAACTAAAATCTTTGCCAAAAAAACATACAGTGGAAATGAAGCGTCTCAGAATAAATATATTTTTATCAATTTCACATTACGCTTTATAACAACAATCCGTGCAGTTTCCGATAAAACGTGGGCAATTCTTTCTGTATTAAATTCATTAAATTGTACGCTATCCGTAATTGTTTCATTGAATACTCGTGCTTTTTTTGCCTTTGCCATGAATTTTTGTAAACGTTCGTCCTTTGTTCCTACGTCATACCGCTGGTCATTTCTTGGAAATAAGAGACAATGAAAGCACTATAGTCTATTTTTCCGGTTCCGAGTGTTACATGAGAAGACTTAGACATGAGCTCGGAGTGCTCCGCCACGAGTCTTATCATGAGTGAATTTGATCTGTGCTAGTTGTGGTTCAAGAACAGCAATAAATACAGTCTATTTCTCTACACGTGAGTACCCACCGTTATTGGCGGTATAATTATATCCAAAATATGGCTTTGTCTGAGTACAGGGGAACTATAACCTCAGTTTTCTCTACCGTTCCTCGTACTCCTGAACCAAACAAATCACACGCTAGTACTGATGTGATTCTAAGCTTAGAACAGGTAGTAGTGATTGATTCTCACGAAAGGTTATCTATCAAAGATTACATCAGCAAGTTCGCTACTATTGATGTTAGGTTTGTGTCTCGAATTTCAAACAATAGTTGTGTTTTCTTCAATATAAAACCAATAGCTGAAAGCATCTCTGATAATCACAGTTTCTTCAGTATTAATAAAATTGAGGTTGCTATCAGACGTCTAATTAATAAATATGAGGGTTAAAATATCGAAACCCTCACCGGATCATTAAAAGTGAACTTCGTAATAGAAATATTACAATCCAATCTAAAATATCCTTTATTAAATCTTGTATATATCACCCTGGTTTTTCGCAGATAATCTGTTTTGTGTGTACGAGTAAACAATCTGGACCTATAGCAAATCTGTGCCCATGCAAAAGAACAATATCAAATAAAATTAACACTGCCGAATCCTAAGAAGGTGCAAATTGTGAAAAAACTGTCAATAAATGTGAACCTGCAGAGAAACACGACCGGGTTGAAGAACTGACAGAAAATGACACAATCTTCTCTAAAAAAAAGCATGTGAACTAATAGAAAAATAGAATATGGTTGAGGAGATAGTGGTAAACCATAACATATTTCCAATTATTTATAACAGAACACACTCATCTAACACATCATCACAAAATGAATTAAGAGTATAAAAATGTTCATTCTGAAAGTAAAGAACCCACAAGACCACCTAAAAAGGGAAAAAGTAAGTCAGTATCACAGAAGATAAGTTATGTTCTATAAATGTGAAAGAACTTATTGCACCCTTAAAAATATATTAATAAAAACACTGATCAATTTTATATAAACTATGAACAATTCAAGAATTTACTAGAAAACTCCTTTGGATAAAATAGTAGCCCCATCATAATTGCTAAAGACTTTACCAGTGACATCCAAGGCATTATTTAAGTGATGACGGAGGCTTATCGTGTTCTCACTGTAAGGTCAAACGTGTAAAGTTAAAGCAAACCACTCACAAACAATTAGACACCACAATGGAAGTATCTGAACTTTCCCTTTCACAAAATTAAAATGAACATATTACAATGGAATGAAAATGGCTTCTATACAAGATCTGAAAGTCTACAAGTACTCACTTATTTCATGCCTGAAATAATCTGCTTAAAGGAAACCAATTTTAAGCCTTCTGTAAAGGTATAATAAGAGGGTTTAAATACTATTAAAAACCTCCACTCTTTTAATATAGCTAGTGGTAGTGTTGCAATATTTATTAAATAATATTTTACTTCAGAACAAATATACACACAAACTGAGCTGTTGCCATTAAAACCCAAGCCCAAATAACAATTAGTGTGTGTAATATTTACCTTCCTAATAGCTACTCTCTCGAAGACAGTGAAGTTACAGATTTGATTAGAAAACTTCCCAAACCTTTTATACTACTTGGTGACTTCAATAGCTACCCCACTCTGTGGGAATCAAATAAATCTGACCTAAGAGGGTTGTGCATAGAAAATGTTATTGATGGAAAGGACCTAATTATCATGAATGATGAACACCCACTAATTTTAATAAGAGAAACGAACATATTGCAATTGACCTTATCTTACGCCTCGGAGCAATTGCCCCAAACACACTGGTGTGTAGTAGATCAGTCGCACGATACCGTTTCCCAATATTCTCATACATTAAACGTAATAGTACTTCTAATACTTTCTCAGGATCTCTTAAATGGAAATATGACAAAGCAAACTGGAAACAATATAAAGAATATACTAGCAAGTTCTTAAATCAGCAATTTATTTGAAGAAAATGAAGATATTGACCTTATCATTCTCATTTTTAATTATCATAACAGAAGCTGCAATTGAATCCATTGATCATATCAGACCCACTTTTAAGAAAAAGACTGTCCCTCGGTTGAATGAATGGTAGAGATGCAATAAGAAGATCCTAAAGAGCTTTTAACAAATGCAACAAAAAAAAACTTAGAAAATAAAAGTGAGTACAAAAACTTGAGATCTAAGGTAAGAAGAATTACTGAAGAGAGCAAAGCAAAATCTTGGACTAACTTTGTGTCATCTATTTTAACAACAAATAACATGAACGTCTCGTGGAAAAAGATTAGCACCACAAAAGAAAGTAGATTGTACAATTAAATTCCATTCTTACATCTTATAACAAAATTTTAACAGCGTGGTTGTATTGCAAATGAATTGAGTAATAAATTTGCAACAAATTCCAGTTATCAAAGTTATACAGCTGCTTTCTGCAAAGCAAAACAAGAAAAAGATGATATTATAATCAATAGTAACAACGATATAGCCAAAGATATCGATTTGAAAGGGAAAAGTCAGATAGAGTTGTGTCACTGTTTTTGAAAAATTCGAGTATTTTCCTCTCTGCCTTTTAGAAAGATTTAGTGTACGTCTTTTAGTCTTAGCTTCTACTTTTCCCTTATAGCTTAAATTACCGAAGTATATTTGGGATTGTAATAAAGCATCTACTAGATTACCGCCTGGTGAAGCCATAATTCCTTCTGTAAATATTAACACTTATGTTACTATTCAACTACGATTAAATACTAATTTGAGTAAACCGCGATGAACTGATATTAATTTCCCACCTGTCTGATAGAAAAAGCTGAAATCTTCTTAAATTCTTGAGCTGGCACGATTCACTGTAACATACAAGCTCGTTCCACAATGATATAGAATGGGCACTATTTCAATGCGTTCGTCAATACTGCGAGAACGCATCTGAGCTCTCGTTCTGTGCTTGCGCTGAGCAGTCGAGGCGAAGCTGTCACTGCTACTTGACACTTGAACTGAAAGAGTAAGTGAGTGACCGTTGATAATTCGGGCAAGGACAGTGGTCCGCATTCAAGTTGGACAAACATTTATTTCATTTAGCTCTCGTTCTCTGCTTGCGCATTCTGCCGTGGCGGTGCTGTCGCCGCAACCAGCACCGAACGTCCGCTGAGTGAGCGACCATCGATAATTCGGGAGGGCGGTGGACCGTATTCATGTTAGACAAACATTTATTTCATTACCCGCAAAAAACAAAAAACAAAAAACACCAGCGCGTGTTACAATCAGAAACTACTGTTAATACCATCTTCTTGCTGGTCTTTTCCACATTAAATGACACAGGCCCACTTCCAACTACGTCTCCACAATCGTTGAGGCCAGCGCGAGCCGGTGCCTGAACAAACTGGAAGTTGAAACTCCCTCGAATGACGGAAATATGATTTAAAAAATTCAAATCACGAATATATACTGAAATGTAAGAATTCATGTAAATTAATTCAAACTGAGTTTAATAAAAATGTTTATGGAAATGTTATATATTTTTATGCGTAGTGTCTGTGTCAAGTACATTCATCTCGTAGTTCTAGGTTTGATTTCCAGTTGTTCCAGTAGTTCTGGAGTTCCAGTGTTGCGCAAGAACTAGAGTTTGGGCACGTTTTATACAAATAAAATTATTTTCTTTAGAAAACATCACTTCCCTGGTATATACTGTAATAATGAAAAATCTTCTACACACATTCGTATTGAATAGAACTTTCGCAAACTACTTGCCAGTTGCAGGCAGACTGGCTTTCGCGAGACACAAAGGGACTTCCATCTAGAACGGCCAACTTTACACAAAGAACTCATCAAATTTACGTTTAAAACCAACAAATCTAATGTTAAATGAAAACAAATTATTGAAATATCATAAACAATGCATGGAATACCGTCAATAATTAACTTACTTGACATGTTTACTTTCAATAACACGCGAAATTCATAAAATTAAGTCGCAGCTAGAGTCAGACGAAGACAGAACATTGGTATTCCCCTCGGACTGCCTCGGTCGTCGCGCAGCGCTCCACAGCGCTCGGTGACGAGACCCCCCCCACCCATTTGGTTGCGTCACCAGAGGCCGTATGTTTCGCTGTGTTAAAGTGAAGGACCAAAGAGTAAATGCAGTAAACCAGTAATAGAGCCAAGAGCTCAGGACGTAGTGCTAATCTGGGAGTCACCACATGTTGGAGAGAACGCCTGTTAGACGCTCTTTGATTTCAAAATGATTTCATGTACAAAGATATTGTTGCAATATCTTGAATATTGAATGTCATTAAAAGGGAAATGTATATTCCTAACATATTATAAGATATTTTTCAATTATCTTGGGGTTGTGCAATCGTACAACGCAAGCACGAGCTGCTACTTGTTGAAGAACATTACCAATAGCTTGATAAAAATAGTGTAGAAAGTCAAACATTTTTCAGACACTCCACAGAAAAAGAAAATTGAAACCCAAGTATTAAAAAAGGGCTCAAGTTCAATCCAAAAGCATGTGCGAAACACAATTATTCTGCTAAAGAAGATGCAATGAGGCTTGAAAAGGAACTTAGTAAATGATAAATTTATAGTACACCCTTTTTCTATGTTTACCATAAAGGAATGCCCTTATGTTTTCCTAATCTAGTGTTCAGAATGTGGGTAGCCCAGGAACAAGGTTAGGTATTATATTTTATATATTTTTAAATTAAAATATACGATGGAGAATTAAGCAAAATAATCGTAATAAAACATAGTTTGAGTTCCCATTACATTACAAAGGAACATGCAAGTTTCCTGAAATAAAGTAGAAAAACAGCCTACTTTCTATTTCTATTATCTTAAAAAAGTAAAGTTCTGAACTGTAAACAGAACAGAATAAAACATCGATTGCAGCATGTTTGATTGACACCGTTGACCACATTTTATTACTACGGGAAAATACTGCTAATAATTTTTTCACTTCCTTAGAGAGAAACCAGATCACAACACTTTTGTTTATAAATATGAAACCATTTTCCCGCGAACGTGACTAACACTAACTGTATCTGTACACTTCAGAACACTTTTCTTAATTATGACCTCTCCACGAAATCATCTACGATGTCAAGGGAAGGGATTAAGATGATAGTCGGCAAGCGGGAATCGCTGCCGAGGGCATTCCACAGTCCATTTTCCCTCACCCCCGCCTCCCACTAACCCCTTTTCATTTATCGTTACCTGATAAGGGTCACCCCGACTGCATCCAGTTTGGATTATCCGGTGTAGGTAAACATTTTTGTGGAGTTTCTATTTGTAAGTAGCACAAAAGGATGTGCTCGCAACAGTCTAGAGAAATCCTAGTAAACACGCCAGAATCTTCGAAATTGTGTATGTTCAGACGGTTAAGAATATGCTCGTGATAGGTTTCACACTTTTAAATCTGGTTGTCAAAGTTGGCAGTGCAATAAAAGGACGTGAAAATGTTTCTTGGAAACAGACGAAAGTTGATCAATTACAATCGATCAATATAATACTAAGCAGACCAGGGTAAAAGTAGCAACCAATCCTGACACTAAGGATGCAAACAGAATGGGATGCAGTCGGACTATGCCTTTTGAAGGAAGGAAGTAAACGGCTTAAGAAAAGTTGACTACGGGATGCAGTCGGGATGCGTCCCGCCAAGCGACCTTTCAACAAGTTCTGTCTCCAGGAGGGGGAAGTGAAGATTGGGAGGTCGTACTTTCTCCGCAACCTGATGGTTATCGTGCCGCAAGGTCGAGACTTTACGCATGCACTTTGCTCTTGCGTTTTCACACCGGTTCTTCATTCCGACTCCCATAATTAATATTGTATACGAGAGTGGCATGCGAGTGCGTCATGATTTATTGATAAATGACGCAGTGCGCTCGCTCGCTTTGGAAAGCTTGGATTTATAGCGTGGCTGTCTGCTTGTTGACGGGTTCTTATTCGTTATCTTTGCGATGGAACATGAAAGAGATACAAATTTCAACAAATCTACGTACCTAACGTTTGTTGTATGTACTCGTAAAATATAGAACTTTATATAAAGTTTCTCGAAATTTGTAACATTTGGCTGCATTTGCCTATTTTTTTTAACGAGTACAATGCTTGTGCTTCGCGCATTTCTGATTGTACTTGTAACATTTCGGAATTTGTAAATTTTATTTTAAATCAAAAATTCAGTTATGAAATATCAAATTCCCTTTTGTTTCCGTCACAAAAATCTGTGGTATTGGTTAGGGTGCAGATTGACTTAAAAAGAAAAATATGCACTGGCAAAATTGTCTATTATATTCTATACAAAATAGTTTGATTTACATATTGAAGGATATGCAACGAATTTAATTTCTATTGTAAGAGATCATAAGTTATTTATCCATATCGTTCTTTCTCGGGATTTCTTTCTTCAATTTTCTTTATTTCTTTCGGCCAATACTCGCCCTACTGGTCCTCGCAAATTGTTGAATGACGTTGCTACAGAGTTCAGTAAGTTACCTACAATAATTAGTTCTGGATCACATTCTTCAAGCTTGGTGATAATTTTAGGCAAAGTTATTAAGTGTGCACCAATATATATTAATTAGCATTTGATGTATTCGTAATTCCTTTCATCCATTATTTCTAAATTAATACATGTCGCATCTGCATTCAATAAAGGAAGTACTTTCTTAATTGGTTCAATGTGCGACCAGTAATAAAATGCAGCTTTAAGCCATATTCCCCATCTTGTATGGACAGGCTCTGTAGGAAGGGGTATTTCTGTTAGTTCCTCTTTGAATATTATGTGTTCTCGTCAGAGCATTGACAAAAACTCTTTTAACTGAAGATATCAAATAATTAACTAGGCCGTGAACAATGCAAATAATGTGGAGCATTTTGAAGTCGAACATTTGAAGAGCTTACGCTGATTTCAGCGTGGATGCTGCACTTTCAATCAGAAATATTAAGAATCTCCGTGTTCTTCAGCTGGTCACAATGAAAGCAATGCATCTCACACAGTCAGCGGGTGAAGATCACCTCCTCCTCCAGCGATAAAAACATGCACTACACTTGCGGAACTCACCTTAGCAATTGACGCGCTTGAAATCATTAATCAGTCAATTAACCGACTTGTAATTCTGCGTCGGATGTCAAGTTCCAGCGGGTGAGAAACACCTCGACTCCATCACAACACCGTCGGGATTGGTGACTATAGCAATTGACGCGCCTGGAAACCCTAAATAATAAATCAATTCTCCCCCCCCCACCGACTCCACCTTTACTTCATCCTCCACTTCCATAGATATCGACAGAAAACTTCCCCGTGGCTTCCGGCAACCACAACGTGGGCCCCCGACGTAAACGCGGCCATCGATGTTCGGCGCATTCCTTCCGCGTTTTAGCCCTTCGGGGGCGGGCGGGTATCGAGCGGCTTCTCCGGGCCTCGCCCACCACCGCCCTCGCCCACCTCCGCCCTCGCCCACCACCGCCCTCGCCCACGCACCGGCAGCCTGCCAAGGCGAGCCCTGGCCTCCCCACGTTCCTCGCTCTCCCTTCACACGAGTTCCTACCTTACATGGCCTTCTTGTGGAAAACTTTCGTATAAATGTGTTAAATGATATCTTGGCTCTTCAAAACTTAAGGGATTGTCCAGATAGTTAGGCAGTAGTTCCGTAGCGCCTCCGGACCGGAGGACCGCGAGTTCGAGCTCTGCTTCTGGCATGGTTAGATAAATAGATTTATTATTTCTGCAGGTAGCTTTATACAACCTGGTGGCAGAGCCAATACAATTAACATACTACAAATAGGAATATTAATAAAATGTAATTTTAAATCATTTTAAGATAACAATAATATTAATAATAATAATAATATAACAATAATGGCAATGAAGACACTAATAACAATAATAGATATAAACTCTACATTTTATGACAGTCAACAAATATTT